GAGTATATTTATAAAGAGTTTATTTCTTTATGCTAAAACTCATGAAACAGTATAAGAAACACAGGAGTAACAGATTTCTTGACAATAGTGTAAATGACTATTTTTTGTACTTTTATAAATGTTTTGATATCAAGACAATTACTGTTGGCAATTACATTATGGATTTATTTACCAGGAGAAACTTGTTCCATGTTTGCCTAATATAAAAAGTTAAATGTTATAATCTAACAATGTGTATGCATGAGACACAAAACGAGGCAGAAATGCACCCATAAAATTTCTTTTATTTTTTTTTCTTCCCACAACAAAATGTCTACAAAAGCGATAAAATATAGAATTTAACAAAAATCACTTCAGACCTTCACATTGTATATACATCTCAAAGGAGGACTCACTAAGGGCCCTGCATTGCTCTGAACTTCCACCCAGTCAGATCCATCAAATGTGGGTGTTTGCGGCTCTTTTAAATGCAAATGCATGCATGCACACGCGCACTCTTTCATTCTCGTGTGAAAATGAAAACTGTACAGTAGAGCTCATGGAGTTATAGTAGAGTCAGAGTTCAGAGTCAAGCAGAGTCCCCTCTCACCAAATGAAAAAAGCATAAAATGTAAAAACAGTTTGTCAGTGTAATCAAATACACATTTTCCGTGGAGTTCCCCTTTTTTTTGATTGGTTTCTCAAGTAAACTCACACAGTAAAGCATCTACGCCCCACTCTGCCAATCCCTCGTCTCCTCACTAGCTATGGCACTTTGAAAACAAAAAAAAAAGTCATTTTTTTGTGTTTTTTGTTTTGTTTCGTTTTGTTTTGTTAGTCCTGTGTAAAAGAGGTTCTGTAGCCCAAGCACCTTTTAGGTTTCGGTTACAGAACATTGCTACATTTTGTTTTATTTGCTCTTGCTGGGACGCAAAGACATTCTAAACAATAAATTAACAATTTTCAACACTACTCCAATTGCACGCATGTGTAATGCATCAAGAAAGTTTACAAAGCATTGGTAGAGCAAACATCATCTCACTCTCTCTGTTTCTTTGTCTCTCACACACACACACACACACACACACACACACACTGACACACACACACACAAACACACACACACACGATCACACAGGTTTTCTTAGGAAAGGGAGGAGGAGGTTTGGGTTGGAGTGTATTTGACTAAGTGTAGGAAATGCATTTCAAACCAAGTGTATTAAAAATGTCTGCACAAATTGCCCGAGTTGTCACATAAAATGACGACTGGTTTTACTTGTGCGCTCTGTGATGTCAGTCCGTGTCGATGGAGTGGTAAAGGCGCATGATGCGTTCAGCCCCTCACACTGAACAGGCTACTCCATAACATTCAGAATAGATGACCCTCCCCGCATCGTTCCCTCCCGCTGCAGGTTAAGGGTCTCTGATCTGGTTCAATAAGGCCAGTTCAGAAAAGGGCCGTTCACTGTCTGGTTAAACCAACTCACACATTCAAAGGTTGAGAAAAAAAAAATCATTTCAAATCCAACAACAAATTTTTAAATTGGTTGTGTATAAATAAGAGTATTTTATTTAAAAATTCTTTCAGCTTGTGAAAAAATTTTTTGCTTTGAACTGATTGAATTGACGTAGAATTTGCCCTGAAACCCATCGCCCACCCTGCCAATAACCCCTCCCACGAAACCCACAATATCATGAGAAGAGAAAACACAAATAAGCCCCAAATGTTTCATTGCAATGAAACGTCATGCAAATAGAACAGAACAACAATAGGCTAATAGTAATAGAAGAATAGTAGTCATAATAAGAACAATAATAATAGTAAATAGTAATAAAATAAAAAATAATCTTACAATGCAAACATGACAGTAGTAAATGCCTCCAGTTCTTATTGCTACAGTATCTTACTTACAGTGTTGCGTTGCCACTCGTTCTTGCCAGCACATCCCCTTTCACAACCCCATCCCACCCCTCTGATTCACAGTCTAACAAGGGAAAATAAAAACATCACACACAACAACTTCATATTCAGAGTTGGAATTCACTGTCCCAGGGGTGTTGTGATGGCGCTTGATTCACAGCTTACTAGTGGACTTCCCTCACTGTCCCGAAAGCAGCAAAATAAGCAGTAAACATGAGTGTACAGTGGTGACAAGAGCACACTGACATACAGTGTAAATATATATAGATATATATGTATATGTATATTTTTTTTGTTTTTCTTGTGCTACGTAACAATGCTTGTTATATAGTCTGGGCTCTAAAGAGATTTGGACAGTGAATTCATGCTCTATACACACATACACACAGACACACACTTATCAAAGCCTTGTCTGGGCAGATGCAATTGCAGGCATACATTGACAGCGTACAGTATGCCATTTTTTATCCTAAAAAGTTATTCTTTCATAATTAAATTTTTTGTAAATTTGCAAAAATATTAAACCCTCTTTTAATGCGAACAGAAAAAGAGCTGCTCCCTGAGAGATGCTGTGTAGTGCATCGAGCCTTAATGAGCAAGTGATTGTCTTAAAGAGTCACTGGCCTCTGATCTGGGGTCGGGTCGGGTCGGGTCGGGGGGGTGGAGGGTGGGGGGGAGTGGTTGAAGAAAGGAAACTGTTGCGAATGGATCACTAACACAGCATGGAACAGATAGATGTGAGCAGAACACTAATGTTTAACGTTGCTGTAGACACCGTTTTGCCCATCACATGGAGAAAACGTGCGGAGGGGTGAAAACATTAACGGTTCAAGTGTTTAATGAACGCATAACTGCTGTGACTGTGTCCATGCCTATAGAGATTTAGAGATTTGGCCACTGTGCAATGAATATTTGAAAACATCAGACGAGCTAATGGAGAAATCCACTTTTAGTCATCATAAATAGCACTAAATCTAAGTCCACTAATATAATTGTAGTAATTAAGGCTGAGGTAAGAGTCTAAGTGCCAATTTATCAAACAAGAATTAAGATTTCAAACTGTAAATTTACCACCAGCAGAATCATTTTGTGCTAATATTATGAAGTGGGTCACTTATTTTGGTAAACTTCTCATTTTTTTGTTGTTGTCATAGCTCATTACAGACCTCTTTACAAAACCAATGCATATAGAGCATCTAGTGGCTGAACACAGAACTGCACAAACCTCAACAACGTGTCTGCTCAATGATTGTTCCTTCACCATATAAGATAGGGATAACTGCCAGATGATCACAACACCATGATCAGATAGTTTTAAACGCCCAGTAAAACCAGTGTGATTTTACATAGTGGCCAAATGCAAATCAACATAATGTTAATGTAGAAAAAGTGACCAAAAAAAATGACTGTAGACTGTAATGTCTGTAAGTGCTAATAATTATGGAATGACAAAAAAAAAAAAAAAAAGCAAAAAGTGATTGTCTATCACAGCTTCCTGTATGAATCATTGATGCAATATTGCAGCTTTAAATGCCGTTAAAGATCGCTGGAGGCTGATCAGCATTTCTTCACATCTTTCAGTCAGTGCTCTGTCTTATGTCCTAACCCCAGATCATGTTGTGTCACACTGAAAACACTGCAGAGTCTGTGGTGGAATGAGTGCCATCCATAGAGATGATTGTTAGACAGAATTAATGATGAATCGTCAAATATAGTGCATTCCAGTTAAAACTGCTACCCTGTTCTGAACAGCTGAAGAGGAGGAAAGGAAAGGAGTAACATCAGAAAGGCAGTGTGAAAGTTATTGCTCTTTAGAGAAAAGGGTCCTTCATATTCACAGCCCGGAGTGATTGACATCCATGGACTGGATTGTGCAAATAGTAATTGGAGGGATGAGGGCATACAGCGCTCATACACACTTTGAAGATTGGAAAGTTGTGAGTTTGTCTTGATTTTATCTTTTTTTGTGGGTGAAATTTCTGTACACTTCTGTCTGCTGAAATCTCATGTCAAGGCCCTAATACATAAGAAATAATGGGGAAGGTTGAGGGGACTTTGGGAAGAGGTGGGGGGTTCATTGTGAGGTCCTAGTTTCTGATTGGTTGTTTCTGGTTGATTGTTCGAAAGCAGTCCAGCTTTTATTGGACGTAATTATTGCAGCGAGAAAAAAATGATTGATAGGACGGCAAATCTGCCAGATTCTTTTTCTTGCAAAATAGAATATTTATGTATATATCTTCACCTTGAAAAGTAGTAGCCATTATTTTCTTTTTAAATCCTTCATATGCTCTCTTTACATTTCTATAAGTTCTCATCAGAAGGCTTTAGTACCTTCTTTACATATGAACAAAATCCAGACAAGGCTTCTGTATATCAACAAACCTGAATCGGCTCCCGGTTTTTACCCAATATTCTTTTACAAGTCTCAACTTTACAAATTCTGTACACAAGAAACTATCAAATAAAATAAAAACACATAGACAAGGTATAGTCAGCCACAGTGGGCTGCTGTATATTTAAATTAGGACTAACTTATTTTAACAGAACAAGAATAATACTGGAATCCGCTCTGCACTAGGAGAATATCTACAATAGCTTCTCTAAATCCACATTTCCCTCCCCCATCCAGCTTCTTCAACTTCACAATGTCTTCATGTGAAAAAAAAAAAAATCAAACAAACAAAAAAAAGATTTTTTTCAAAGTTAAAACAAATTAACTTACCCATTTTTTTTTCTTAAAGATTGACAGCTTAAAATTGTTCCTAGATGTTTTAAAGTCTGTACATTTCTGGTCAGTCAGTTCAGTTCAGGAGACAGGAGGAAGCCCCGCTCAGGTTGTGACTTGGGGCGCGTTTCATTTATATATACATTCTTCAGACTGTATCGGTGAACAGGATGGGATAAGTGCTGGACATTCCTAGTATTGTTGGCGGTAACTGTAAGTTTCTGGCAGATGATTCCTCGACCCCCAGCCTGAAATGAGGCTGGGGGAGCTCAGGAATATGTGGTTGCCACGATGATGACATAGTCGACACTGCCGTCTCGTCAGACGTGGCTGTGGTCTTATTTTCTTGGTCCTGCGCTGGCACCGTTTGTTGCATTTGAACCACAGGCAGTCACTTGGGCATGGCCATGGCAGAGTTGGGGTCGGGATTGAAGAGTTCTTTGTAGAGCGGAGGGAAGAGGACGTTGACTGTTTCTGGGTGGAGCTGCTGGAAGGCCTGGAGCTCCTCGGTGTGAAGAGTGCACAGGGCTGACAATGTTGGGATTCGGCTGATCAGCTGCGAGACAAGAGGGAGAGACAGTCAAGGACAAGGAAATTTAGACTGATAAACCACAGAAAGGGACAAGCTTAGAAGTCAGTTTTTGTACAACAGTTGAGCTTCTTGTGTTTTTTTTTTGTTGTTTTTTTTCCACATTGCACCACCTCTCCATGAGGCCAGAGGAGCTGCCGTATGTGTTTGATATGTCTGTCCTGGTACAACTTATCTCACTACAAAGGCTTGGCCTACCTTAGCCAGTGCATCTTCGTCCATGTGGTTCTTCTGCATAATGTGCTGCAGAGCAAAGTAGATCTTCTCCTGGAGCTTCTGGACTTTCCGAGGCTCCATCAGCCATGGCCGATCTGAGCGGAAAAAAAGTGTTTATAAGTATTTTTTTAAGGCGATGCAGATTGTTTACTTTATGATTGTAATAATCTTAAGGAATGCTCACTGACCTGTGGAAATTAGTACAGCTGCTGAGAACAGAGCAATCTCCTCCTCTGTCAGTTGCAGTGAACACAAACTCTTGGCAAAGTCAAACACCGCACTCACTAAGTCATCACAACCTTGGAGGGAAACAGGGAAGAGGACAGGGAGGGGCAGACAAAAAAAAGAGATTTTCATTACACTTACTCTGGTCATGCATGTGCTGATGAGCAAAAATACCTCACAGGGTAGAGGATTTTTATTTATTTATTTATTTATCTATTTATTTTTACATTTTTCCTCTTTTTTTCTGTTTCAAGTGGCCTTTTCCCTCATATATACCAAGACAAAATGCATAGGTAGTAATGCCTCACCTAGAGCTTTGAACATCTGCATGCCTCCGTACTTCCCCTCAAAGAGCACAGTGTTGTTGAGAGGGTTGAACGCTCTGCACATCCGCACCAAGACTACCTCCAGACAACCTGGAAGAACCAGGCAGAGAGATAGTTTGAGCCTGACAGTGATAGACTGACCAAAGGGCAAAAAGAATTAAGAAAGCAAAGGACTTTTGCTCCTTTGAGCGACATCGTCTGGCAAGACAAAGGGATGGGCCTGGCCCGGCATTGTCAGTCCACTAGTCTCACCTGACTTGAGCAGGAGGATCTGGTCATTCTGGCACAGTTCCATGAACCCTGAGATGCGCTTGGCGAACTCCACCACGTACTGGATTGCATGGGTGATCTGGATGGCACACTGCTGCCACAGCACGTCCCGGGGCTAGGAAACAAACATACCCAGTTTAATGGTTATATATTCTGCACTTAGTATAGTAGTTATAGTAGTTGTATTCATGTGAGTAAATGAAACTAAAAATCTTGTCACCCTCATTTCATATTTATGTTGCCTGTATGTTATGTTGTCCCATTGCCTGAATAAATACAGATGTGTTTCATTTCCATGTTAAGAGAGGGGGACAAGACGAGCTGAATTTGAATGTTCACTGATGAAAATGATGAAAAAATTATTTCAAATGGCCATTAATACAGACGTAAGAACGCGGCAACAATGAAGTAGCTTATACCTCTAGTATGGCAGGTGTAAGTAGAGTAAGTAACTAGAATAATAGAAACACAAGAAGAGCAGAAATACATGGGACATTTTAAATATCATAGATCAATATCAAGTCTCACCTTGCTCTGGTACATCTTGACCTCTTCATAGGAGTGTGTCTGCCAGGCAAGCTGCTGCAGCTCCTCTGTTGTGTACTGACATGTCTCCAAGTGGGACTTGATGATATTCTGAGCAATACGATCTGGAGGAGAGGATTCATACTCATTTATTCCTTTCCATACAGAAGGTCCATTCATTTACCCGCTCAGTTATACTCTTGATACAGCGGTATATGGTATGTGTATGGGTAGGGAAAGCACGTATTCTGCATGTTGTACTGTAGGTGCTATGATCTGTTGAATATTTAGAGGAAGTTGTTTTTTTTCTCGTTGCTCCCCTTTTACTGCTTAATTTAACATTCCCTTGGATTTGTGTTAAGTGATTAAATTTAACAAATTCTTAACATGTGCAAACTGCCTGAGCTGTACATACACTAATATGACACCTTGTCAGCTATCTGTGTAAGCCTGTCTGATCTGCTGTTCTGCACTCAGATTAGCACTCTGACTCACGCTTTCTAGCAGGACTACTTTGTGGGTAACCATTCATTTTCCATGTGGATAATTCAGGTAGATTTTAAATGTGAAACCATACTACCGTGTCTATCTCACAAACGGAGCAAAATATCGGTCTTTACCTAGCTCTCCCATGCTGACGTTATTGGGTCCCAGCTGACTGTCCTGGTAGCCTCCGTAGCTGAACAGGTTGGGTACAGGCGTCAGGTCGTACACCGGCTCCTGCTTAATGTGCTTCATGCCCGACATGTCCAACCCTGACTGGTCTGGAGACGGTTGGGTGGAATCCATCCCATAGTAGCCCCCCGGGACTCCGCCTCCATTACCATGGCCACCTTTGGGCAGCTCAATGACATGACCATTGGCATAGGTGCCCCCAATCTCATGGTTAAGGGTGGACAGTCCGTTGGTTAGGCTGGATGAGTAAACACGTGCCAGAGCTTCTGCTTCGCCTGTCTGCTGCTGCCGCTGCTCCTGCAGTCGTGCCTGGTGCTTCTGGACCTCTGCATACAGGCTGTCGCGTTGCTTCTTGGACATGCGGCCAAACTTTACCGCTGTATAGAAAGAAAATGCAACATACAGAGACAAAATTTAAAAACCTGCCATAATGTTTCAGCTCCTCTAGGTAAAGTAGAAAAATTGGGAAAAACAGCACAATTGATCCAAAGAACTTTACCTCAGATACAAATGTGCACTGGCTCTGCATGTATTTGTGTTGTTACACTAAATGACCAGTGATAATGAATCATTACTCTTTTTTTTATAGATATAGATACAGACACACTGGGTCTCACCATCTCTGGACATTCCTAGTGCGAGACATTTCTGCAGGCGGCAGTGTTGGCAGCGATTGCGGTTTGTTCTGTCGATGAGGCAGTTCCTCTGGCGGGGGCAGGAGTAGGATGCATTGTTCTGCTGACTCCGTCTGAAGAAACCCTGGTTGCATGTCAACAAAAAGCATGAATACAGACTTCCGGGTAACCGTAGAACACAGACATTCCTGAGCCAAAATGAAGAGAAATGTAACGTAATGTAATGTTAATGTCTCACCTTACATCCCTCACATGTAATGACTCCGTAGTGGATACCTGATGATTTGTCTCCGCAGATTTTGCATGGTATAACTTCGATTTGGGCTGTAAGCAAAAATAGAGGATAGAAAAGACGTGTGTTACAAAACTCATTTTAGACAGAACAAAGACTTTTGTTTCCAACACCTGATTCAGTCAGTTCACAGATTCTTAGACCTCAGTTGGTGGTCTAAATTGAGGTAAAAAAAAAAAAAAACAGTACATAACCAGGTTGGCTGTAGGACCTGGTTACAGTGTGTGTGGATGTGTGCGTGATTTCACAAGGGCACAGTGACATCTGGATATTCTGTATGTCCCTGTAGGAGTTCTTCTAATGACTGGGACATTGAGGACTGCATACGTGCACACCGTGCATGCACATTCACACACTCATAAATAACAGTATGACATTACTTGTGTGTGGGTTCTTTGTGTTGCGCTTGAAGGAGAGACCCCTGCAGGTTAGCAAGGTTGCCCGTAATGAGAAAACAGGTTGCATCGCTGAAAGACCACACTTGCTCAACTCTCTCTCTCTCTCTCTCTCTCTCTCTCCCTCACACACACACACACACACACACACACACATGCACACATGCACAAACACACATTGAGTTTCAGTAGCTTTTACCTAATCTACAAATGCACTAATTCAACTACTTTTTATTTCTGTCTAAATTTTACTCACTGTGTATAGGTAGCTCCATGTACAGATCAACCAAAGGCACGGAATATGAACAACTGCAAGTATTTCAGTGTAACACACTGAAGCACCTGTCAGTGGTGTCTTTCAGCTTATTATCCATAATATATGGAAAGAGAAAGCCGCTGTTCCTTCTAAGTCATATGAGATGGATGTAGAGGTAGGCAGGTATGTCTGCTGAGATGGCACACTCTCTATAAAGAGATTAGACAGCCTATCTAATCCTAAATTATTTCCCGACGAGCAGGTTCCCTCCTCTGCTGAGCACTGGCTTAGCCACAGCTGAAATAGCCATTCACATGTAATCTCCTTGCGTAGTCCCACCTGTAGGAAATTCTGCAAGTTTTATGAACTTTCCGAAAGGTTCCTCAACAGACAAGGTCAACAAGCAGAACAGAAAGTACAACTTTCTCAGTTTTATATTCCAGATTTGCATACGTTTTGCCTAAATGATCCCCCTTAAGAACAATATAAAACTTGCACTGTGTGATTGAAGTTGATGCTTATAGAAGTGTGTATTTACAAAGAGAATTGTGCCTGTGTTTGTGTTACTGTATGCATGTATGAATGTGTCTTGAATCAATGCATGTGCATACTGAAATGTGTTCTGTATAGTTATTTTTTTGTGCATTTGGGCAAGTATAATGTATGTACTGTTAACACAGTGTGAGAAGTTTCTGTGTGTATAAACTGCACAGATATATATTCTGTACTGTATATATATATATACACACATATATATGTGTGTGTATGTGGGTATACTAAATGTCTGTGGAGGAATGAGTCTGCAGTATATATAATTGGATAATCCTATATGCGGATCAATGGAGACAGTTCTGTCTGTCCAAGCAACTGAGCAGGTGTAGACAGTCTCTGCTGTCTATACACTGTATAGTCTGCCTGCACCTCGGGGACTTTGACTGTTTCACAGTATATATATGATCAAATCCCTGCTATAATACACACAGATACTCACAGCTGGTGGGCTGGTGGCAGCTGATTCATGTAAATGAATCTCTACTTTGTACTGTATTCTCCTTACGTGAACCTGAACACCCTTTGCAGAGATAATGATGGAACAGGAAGAGGAGCAAATAACCTTATAGATCCACAAAGCAACATGCTCATGTAGTCATTCATTTGGTTTTCTTTTCATTCATTCACTTGCTTATCTGCCTCCTAGTGGCTGTTCGGAGGCATAAATGTCTACTAACTACAAACTGACCTCCAGTCTGCCATAACCCTGGACTATGCACCGTCTTTCATCATGTGTTGTCGTAGTTATCTTTATAGTTGAGAATGGGCCTTTAGTGCCCTTATTCATCTCAAATTATAATTTACAAAACCCAACAATGGATCGTTGTGTCCCGCCGCAGTAGACAGTCTGTGAGTGAATGACCTGTGGACCGGACGACATGCTCTTTGACTGTGTGTGCTTAAGGTGGCGCAGCTCATGCTGAGCGTTCTGGTGTGGCTCAAGACGTGACCCATTTCCACCAATTCCTGGCCAACTGGTTCCAAACTGGGTCAGAGCAGAGCACTGGACTGGGACGGCACACAGACTACACATACACAGAGCTGTCAGTGAACATGGCCTGTAACACGCTATTTATAGTCCATAAAAACAGGTCAGTTAGGCCCGGGACATGGACGTTATCATCAGACCAAACAGACGGCAGGACAACAGTGCACCTGCCGTACGTCGCATCTCCTTCGTTTTTAGCTTTTCACAGTTACCTCTTACTTTTTGCTGTTGTTAACGCTTATCACAAACTTTTAGTCAAACTCTGATTAAAGTTTTGAACATGAAACAAGTGAGTCTCTATGGCTTTAGACTAGCTGAATGTGTTCAGCCCACACCTGCTGCTGCTGCAATGTGAAGATACATAGTTATCATACATAGTTATTATGTGACTGTGTATATCCACATGTATTATTATTTCTGTTGATTTTTCCAAAAAGCTCTTTACATTTCCCTACCTCAGAGAACTGTGTTTACTGTTTCTCTCCAGTGATTACAGTATATCTTCAGTGTATTTCTTTGTACCCCATGGGAGATTGTGCTCCTCTTTGTATCACATAATTATGCCCAAAGGAGCATGGGCGTGTGGGCATGTGCATTGTTTTAGTGTGTGTTTCAGAGAGGGTTTGAGTGAGCGTTTCACTTATAAGAAACACACAGAGAAATATAAAGTATGTGTACATGTCTGCGTGTGTTCGACGAAGTGTTTGTGAATGTGCGTTTGAGTGTGGGTGTCTGCATTGTTGAGAGTGTGTTGTGCCCACTGCCAGCGGGGACTGTCAGGTAGGATATAGGGAGACGGTCATGACAGCATTGCTGTTGCCAGGGTGACCACCCACTCGCTGCACTCGTCTGGCTGTCACAGCGATGATGTGCTAAGCTGTCACAGTCTTAAAGGAAGTGATGTCATCGCTGTGTGCAGCCAACTCACTGTTCGTCCTGTCGCCCTCTCTCAGCAGCGGGGGCTTTGTGAATTGTTTACCAAAGGACTCCCACTTTCACATCTAGTCAACAATAGAAGCCTGCCGCCTTGTTACACTTTAGCTGCATTGGTGGATTATACGTGTAGCAGAATTAAGAAGTGTTATCTGTTGGCTGTTCAGAAGAGGCTGTGTTCTTATTGTTTTCAAAGTTTGGATGGATGATAATGCATTTTGGGTATTTGATTTCATGGTTATAGTTTAGAGAAGCAAACTTACAGCTTCAAAGCTCTAGTAGAAGTGAATTCCTAAAATAGAGTAGAACTTCAGAGAACGGAGTCTAATGCAGCTATTCCCCTAACGTCTCTCTGACAGGCAGCCATTTCCAAACAAAACCTTAGTGGAAAAAAAGCCACTCATTTCTGGGTTTTTTTTTTGTGGAGATTACTTTGCTCCTAGGTCTTTCACAGAGGAGGGTGGGACTTATTTCTAACCTGAGTTGACCCGCTCCGAACAGAGTGACTGACAGTGTCCTCGGCCAGTGGGAGCGCAAGTGTTATCCTGAGGTTATTATGTAAGAGCGGGACTGCAACGCTGGCGATTCCTCAGCTAAGAGGAGGATCAGGCCTGCACAATCTCTTGAGAGAGAAAAAGATAGAGAGAACGAACTAGAGGTGGATTTCATAAAGAACAAGGCACAGATAGTTGTTTTAGTGTGCACCACACTACTGAGAGTTTGCACACGTGCATGTGTGTGTAGCTGATGGTGGCCATGAGGGTTGTGTTGCACTGGCACGTGTGTTATGATAATTGATTTTTAATGAAGTGAGGATCTCCTGTGTATTTCCTGGGCTGGCCCTCTCTCTAAATAGAGGCCTAATTATCTACATTGCACTGCAGAAAAAAAAAGCAGAGCATAGCACCAATATCTTAGTAATACTTCATCTGAAATGCATATGTAGCTCACACACAGAGTACCATTAATACACACATGCCAACACCTACAGTGACTATTGAAAAGAGCAGCGCTCTCCATCTATACTGATAATGTAGCAGCAAATGAAGGCCACTAGGTGTTGCTATACATGTTTAGTTTCTGTGTGCGTGCGTGCGTGCCGATCGTGCGGGTGTGTGTGTGTGTGTGTGTGGTCGTGTGTGGTGTGTGTGTGTGTGTGTGTGCGCGTGCGTGCGTGCGTGCGTGCGTGCGTGCGTGCGTGCGTGCGTGTGTGTGTGTGTGTTTCAAAAGGGGCAGACTGGACATGCATGTTTCATTCATTCAGCCTGCGGGGTGGGTTTACAACAGAAACATATCCAAAGCAACACACATGTACACATACACAGTGTCATGAAGTAACAATAGCACGGCGGTATACACTAGAGGTTGGTGCTGTAGTATCACAGTTTATGGAACAGTTAAAATCACTTTCTGGCATAACTTTTGCCAAATGTAAGGCACTTCAGAAATGCAAACACAACTCCTACTGCAGTCCCAGGGGTTGATTTGTTGGGGATGAATGTGGGTGGTATCTCCACTTCATTAAAAATATGCATAGCTTCTTCCCAGTTAACTAGATATCTTCTGGGAAAATGAAGGAGATCAGCACTTTACCCCCCCTCTTCCCCACCCCACCCCACCCCTCCTTATTAAATCTGAACAACTCCGACGCTGGTCTTAGATGTCTATATACTGTGAATTATGCTATCACTGTTCGCCATCCACTCCACTTCAGTCTGTTTGACTTTTTCATTTCTCTCTGAGTGTTCCTACTCGCTGTAAGTGGCTGTGTGACTGGGAAATCATTTCAGTTGCTGTATTTCATGATCTATTTCCATCTCTCAGCGTAACTCTGTCTTCCGTGTCTCATAGAGCTTAGAGAGGAACAAGCGTTTTTCTTTTTCCTCCGCCGATGATGAAAAACACTGAGAAAACTTTTTGGTGGCGTGATCGCTGAGTGGATGAGCACACACAGCTGGGAATAGCGTATAGCAGTGCTGCTTGGGTTACCTCCCCTGTGTCTCCTGTCATGTTTTCACATCATACTGTCCCATTAAAATCAATGAAACACTGCCACTGCATATGGTTTCAAACGGACTTGTGCTGTCATACTTCTCTCTCTTTCTTGTCTCTTTTTACTGTCTGAAACATCTGAAAATTATATTGAAGAGTGGTGGACTATCTGCTCTCCTTCCAAAAAAAAAAAAAAAAAATGAAGTGTACTTCACTCACTTTCATCTGTCCTCCATACTGTAGGTCCTCTTTACTTTTCAGACACCAGCATGTGGTATTTATCAAAAAGGCCATTGTTTTGGGAGCCTTATGGTTTAAGATGTCGACGGTGTTGTTGCAAAGTTTGAAGTGCAAAGTCTCTCCCCTTGTTTTCTGTCTGTGTCTACTGTCTGTTCTCTCATAAAGGCATTATATATGTCATCATATGTATATGTGTGTCATCACTGATCACCAAGCGTTTAGGTCAAGGTGTCGTTTAAAATTTTTCAATACTAGTGCCAATATGATATGGATCATTTTTCCGTATTTTTCCAATTTTACAAAAGAAGCCAAACTTTCAAATTTTAACATTACCAAAACATTAGTTGTCATAACAAGACTTCAGTGGGATGGGATTAAACTAAAATACAATCCAGTTAAAAGTATGATTTTGAATCAGTTAATATCTTATAAGACTAAAAAATCTGACCAGGCATCTGATGCCAACTTTTGATAATTGGGAATTTTCAATACTCAATGCTACAGACAACTTATGTTTGGAACCAAACATT